GTAAAAAGGCCCTGAATGGCAATGATAAAGATACTTGAAATCCGCAGGTAAGGGTTCCTACGGACTAGGAGGGTTAGAAAAGTCCACATGCGGAGGCAGTGGAAAATGTTCAAGCAGCGAAGGAACGGTGCGCTGTGAAAAGGAGTTGCGCAGATGGAGCAGAGGAGAGAGAAAAGAGCGGAAGGTGGATCAGTGTCCATTGATGGTTTGGTCTCTGCAAAATATTCAGAGATTGCTTCAAGTGTTTCAGAATTCAGAGATGTCGTATGGGAGACAATATTGGGAATGGTAGGGGAGGATGAGTAAAGATTGGAACTGTATTGGACTGTACCAAGGTAGGGGGGGCGAAAGGGTGGAGGGAACTGGAGAAGCGTGGCAGGGACAGAAGAGACAGGAACCTGGGAGGTGGCAGAAAGAAAGGAAGAAACTTGGAGGAACAGGGGAGGAAGGTACATTTCGAGGAGGAGGGTGACCTCTGCACTTGTAACTGAGCCAGTGAGAGGGAAGAACTAGGGACAGAGACAGGGAGGTAAAATGAGGAGGTGAAGATGGGTAGGAGGTGTTACCGGACCTTTTTTTGACTTTTGAGAAGTAGAGGGACGATTGGGAAGAGGTGTCGTACGAGGTCTCGTCGATACTGAGGCTTGTAAGAGAGAACTCGAAGAAGCGAGATTAGACTGAGGTGTTGAAGTAGGGACGTCTGAGCCGAGGACAGCAAAAGGATTAGATACAGGAGTGATTATGGGAGAGGTAACCACAGAGGTGGGTGTAGAAGATGGGATACCAGAAGTGGGGGGACGTTTGAAACAGGGAAAAAGAAAACACGTGGGAGTCTCCTTGGAGGCGGAGATGAGAACACGCCATGGCATAAGGGAGACCTTCTGTCCTTTGAGGGTAACGGATTTCCCGCTCGTTTAAATATGACCTGACAACGGGACGAGGAGTACGAAGGGTGAGCCTCATGACAGTTAAGGTAGAGGGAGTCGATTGCAAGCGTATTAGAATGGTCATCGGCACCACAGACTGGGGCATTCGGCGATAGATCTGCAATATTTCGTGGATGGGCCAAATCGCCAGCAATTTCTACACTGTTGTGGTGTAGGGATTTACCTTTCGAACTTGTAACCGATGTCCTGCTATATAAAACTGAGGATGGGAGTTCTCGGCTGTCAAAAGTTAAACGAGCCACATTGCTAGGGTATCGTCTCCGCCCACGGGCAGGAAGAACGTGTCTACCTTGAGGATTGGGAGATCTTGGAGTTCCAGCTGTTCTAGAATGTCGGTGCCGCATGTCTGGAAAATTTTGTTGAAACTATGGTATGGGGCAGAATAACGGTACCACTACAAGAATTGAGGGAATGATGTTTTTCAAGGGTGACAGGAACAGTATCTATATGGGAAAGACGAGAGAGCTCACGAGCCTGGGTAGCATTCTGTACGGTAATGATGCGCGTACCGCTCTTAAGAGCATGAAAAGAAATATCTTTACCAACATGGCGTAGGAGTGCCTTGCCAATACTATGGTCAGAAAGATAGGCAGTAGAGGAAGTTGGTCGCAAGTGAAGAATTTAGTCCACTGTTCAGTCTGAAACTGAGCGTGGAAAGAGGTAGTGAAGGACGTGTCGATCTTTTCTGAGAAGAACGAGAAAGGGGAAGGTGGAGAAGTATCATCAGCAGGTAATTGTCGTTGACGGTTTAGGCGTGGGACCAGAGTTGGTCCGACGTGGAAGGGTCGGCGATTTGAAAATTGCCGCACCGTAGAGGGAAGAGGCCGGAAGCATAGTCAGAGGAGAGCGAAGGTCTGATAAAACGAAGGGAGTCAGTCGAGGCCTCAGTACCTGAAGCAGGTGAGGAAACAGCACCCGGGAATAGGTACAGAGGCATGAGGAATGTCTGAAGAGTGGTCCAAAGACGAGGCGGGGTCAGAACGGGTGCGGTATCAAGAAGGGGCCCGGGGGTAAAAGGTTCATGGACTAGGGCTGCCATGGTTAGGTTACTTCTTTCTTTTTGTTTTTAAGAAAAAAAAAGAAAGAAGAAAGAAAATAAAAATAAAAAAAAGAAAAAAAAAGGGGGGACCCGGGAGGGAGGGATAGTTCCTAGGAGGAATGAAAGGGCCAGAAAATCTCCCTCCGCGCCAAGGGGACTCGACACCGCTAGTAGCGCAGATGCAGCATGGAAAACCGTGCCATACCCTACCCTTCATGCCAGTAAACAGCAATCTGGGATAGCAAACCTCACATCTGCCGAGCTACCTCGGTGGACAAAAGAGGGGCGGCCGGATATCCGCCACAAAGCATACCTCCTTCAGCCACCACCCCGTAATCCGAAAGGTGGCTTCCAGAGTTTCACCCGTCGCCCAAAAGACACCCAAAGCTACTCCGGGATACCGGAGAGGGATCGGGACATCCCTAGGCAATCCAGATTCCACGGCAAACTACGCCACCGCCAAGAAACCTCAACGGAATGGGATCGACCCCGGTGTCCTTTCCTCTACTAGGAACTAGCGTGCCTGTGGGAGAAATCCCAAAGGACAAAAAGAGGAAGGGCAAAAGGGAGGAGTGGGGAGGAGGAGGAGGAAAGGAAAAAGGGGAGGATGGGGAGGATGGGATAGGGGAGGGGAGATTGGGGGGTAATTAGGTTCGGTCTGAGGAAGAAGACCGATAGGTCTAATTCCTCAGACCAAGAGCCTCTTCACCACGCCAAGGAGCCCCCCTTGAAGAGGGTAAGGAGAGTAGTAGTTTGAGGTAATCAGTCCCTCAGCTTGGAGTCGATGTGTTCAGTCCATCAATCTTGTAGAATATACAGCATATGGCCGTAGTGTCTCAATCTTCAATTTGTTGGTTTTTCAAGCCATTCAACATAACGGTTAGACACTCCAGCATCATGGGACCTTGTTACAAAGAATTCAACACTTGTCCAACCTTTGGACGAAGACCTACTTCGACTAGTGGATGGTACCACTATGACCCCGCCGCCTCCTGCTTCGCCTCGCCTGACTACAGTACATAAGCCACGTCTACGGCCCTATGCTGTATATTCTACAAGATTGATGGACTGAACACATCGACTCCAAGCTGAAGGACTTATTACCTCAAACTACTACTCTCCTTACACCTGCTTTGTATTGGACTGAAGCCACTGTGTGGCGAAACGTTTCCTGAATCAAGATTCCCATATGTTGCATAAGTGTTTCAATCTTCAATCTAGTGCATACCTGACAGATATGGAAGGGCCAGGTACCATATCTCCACACTGCTGTGATGTAATAGGATCCAAGATATGAGGAAATTTAAAAAATCCAGTGAAAAGCAAGGGTGCCATAGGTGCAATAAAATGCTGTCAACATCCATGGTCCAAGACTCTGCTACCAGTAGGTATCAGAAATATTGCTAAAATAAATGTAGTCTTCAAGTATCAGACCAATCAAACCGATTTCTATGCGAGCCAGCAAGTCACTAACAGCAATAACCAAATTAAATAGGCAAGCGACAAGGTATTATATTTAAGGGAAGCACTAAACCTGCACGAGTCATACAGAGCTATAGGAATGACAGGCAATCATGTTTAAAACCAAGTAAGGGAAGGACAGCCCCGATTCTTTACATCAAGAGCATTTCACCATCAAAGCCTCCAACAAGGGTAAATCAGCCACTTAAGACTGACCATGCAACAACCAACAAATTTCAAGTTAAATTTCCTAAGCACTATCTTCATGCCAGTTATTATTCAAATTTGTCCATATGAATCTGGGCTTCATTACACTTTTATGCATTTGTGATTATTACATTTAGTGTTCTATTTTGGTGGGATTCTTACTACAGTATCACATGCAGAGAATTGATCAAATCTGTGCCAAAGCACTGCAAGGCTAAAGTTATCTATTGGCAAGAAAAAAGTGAGGGATAAACTTAAGAGCTAACAGTTGACATTGCAAGTTAGTTTTGCTATTCCCATAGAACACTGGACACAACTGCCCAGCTTCAGATTACAATCAAAACTAAGCGCTACACCCGCCAGGATAATACAGCGCTGGACCAGCTTCAGAACATATTGGGAAAACAATAAGCCTGTAAGGATCATACAGCAGGTAATACAGTGCTGGACCAGCTTCAGAACATATGGGGAAACAATAAGCCTGTAAGGATCATACAGCAGGTAATACAGTGCTGGACCAGCTTCAGAACATATGGGGAAACAATAAGCCTGTAAGGATCCTACAGTACCCAGGGTGCAAATGTTAATAAATTGATCAAAGGAAGTTTGGCTCCAACAAGCACACTTCAACATCACAAAACCTCCCATGATACATACGCTGATGTCAGTGTTGGTAAAACTTGCCGAACTTTTTAGCCATGTTATTCAAGATAACAATTCTGGGTGGATTATACAGTATCTGAGTTAAGCACTAAACCCTCAAAAGTCATACAATGCCTTCAAATAGGAGGGTTATCAGGTTTAATTCAAGGACTTATTAAGGCATCAAACCCATATGGGTCATGCAACTAATAGGACATGGGAATGGTAGGCTACTAGATTTAATCAAAGTGAAGGGTAGCTCAAATTCCTCAGACTAAGAACCTCTCACCAATGGCAGCTCACCCTTAGTATACCAACGCAGTCCACAGGTGTCAACATTTCTATATTCACATGGTTCCTGGCTTGTTATATTTCAGGAAAATTGGTCAACCTATAGGGATCACAGCACTGAGAACAGGAGGCAGACAGACTTGAATCACAGTAAGAAAATGGTATTCTTTGAATAAACAGCCCCTTACCAGCATATAGACACCTCCCTAGAAGTGGTCCCTGGTCTTGTGTAACTTTATTGACCCATGTTGAGTGTGACAATTCATTTTTGTCCATACATTTCATAGTTTGTGGTAACTCGAGGTGTAACAACTAATACTATCTTTTCCACTGAGTGAGCCTCCTCACGTGCAGTAGAAAAAAAAAAAACTTGGTAAGATGCTTATTTCATAGGTGAAAATAATCAGACTTCATAATTTTTAATATTTATTACATGTGACCAAGTAATCACAAAAATATAATTTAAGAAACCTGTTAATTTTTTAGCAATTCTCAAATTAGAAAGCCAGTGAGACCTCTAGCAAAGTACTGTAACTCAAGCTTGCAAATGAAATTATTTTTTGTCCTTTTAAAGTTGAACATATTTTGAATCTTCAATACTTTAATCTTCCTTTGGTATATTATAAAAAGTGCAATCTCATCAATACCTTTTGTCACTTTCAGAGTATTTTTGCACAATCACAATTACTAATTTTAATAAGTATATTGGATCAAATATTGCATGGAAACATCAGAATAATAAACCCAATGTCTTCTAAAACAATGCAATACAAATTCAGGAATACTATTAAAGAAAAAGCTTACACCAACAAAATAAAAACAAAAGCTAGAAACTTAAATTTCTCCAGAACACCTAGCACTGCTGCTATTCTTGGCAACTGGAAAGTACTGCACTCTGCTTGATGAAGTTTATGAAAGCTGCTGGATTTCTTCATCCACTTCCTCTTGTAATGACTTGAGTTTATTCCACATTGATGTAGTCAGTGAAATTCCTGTTGACAGAATTAAAATTATTGAAATTCATAGAATTTTAATATGGAATTAGATGCAAGATGGAAAGATAACAGGAAATGGGAATTATCACAGTAGCTTTTCACCAATGACAGTTCTTTTTAAAGGTTCCAAAAATATAAAAGAGTTGGAAGAGGCAGATGGGTGTATGTAGGTATGTCTGTGTGCAGCTCCTGGCCCCGCCTTTTCACTGATCGCTACTAGGTCCTCTCTGCTTTCTGAGCTGTATCATACCTCTTCTTAAAACTATGTATGGTTCCTGCCTCCACTACTTCACTTGCTAGGCTATTCCACTTCCTGACAACTCTATGACTGAAGAAATACTTCCTAACGTCCCTGTGACTCGTCCGAGTCTTCAGCTTCCAGTTGTGACCCCTTGTCCCTGTGTCCCCTCTCTGGAACATCCTATCTCTGTCCACCTTGTCTATTCCCCGCAGTATCTTGTATGTCGTTATCATGTCTCCCCTGACCCTTCTGTCCTCCAGTGTCGTCAGTCCGATTTCCCTCAACCTTTCCTCGTACGACATTCCCGAGCTCTGGGACTAGCCTTGTTGCAAACCTTTGTACTTTCTCTAACTTCTTGACGTGCTTGACCAGGTGTGTGTGTGTGTGTGTGTGTGTGTGTGTGTGTGTGTGTGTGTGTGTGTGTACTCGCCTAGTTGAGGTTGCGGGGGTCGAATCCGAGCTCCTGGCCCTGGTGTGAGTGTGTGTGAGAGTGTGTGTGTGTGTGTGTGTGTGTGTGTGTGAAGTGTGTGTGAAAGTGTGTGTGAAAGGTGTGTGTGTGTGTAAGGTGTGTGTTGTGTGTGTGTGTGTGTGTGTGTTTTGTGTGTGTGAGAGTGAGTGAGAGAGTGAGTGAGAGAGAGTGAGAGAGAGTGAGAGAGAGTGAGAGAGAGTGAAGAGAGTGAGAGAGAGAGAGAGTGAGAGAGATGAGAGAGAGTGAGAGAGAGTGAGAGAGAGTGAGAGAGAGTGAAGAGAGTGAGAGAGAGTGAGAGAGAGTAGAGAGAGTGAGAGAGAGTGAAGAGAGAGTGAGAGAGAGTGAGAGAGAGTGAGAGAGAGTGAGAGTGAGAGAGAGTGAGAGAGTGAGAGAGAGTGAGAGAGAGTGAGAGAGAGTGAAGAGAGTGAGAGAGAGTGAGAGTGAGTGAGAGAGTGAGTGGAGTGAGAGTGAGAGTGAGAGTGAGAGTGTGAGAGAGGGGGTGAGAGTGTGAGAGAGAGTGTGAAGAGAGTGTGAGAGAGAGTGTGAGAGAGAGTGTGAGAGAGAGTGAGAGAGAGTGGGTGGGGGGGGGGTAAAGTTAGAGAAACAAATTTATGCAATGAAATACTGGGCATCAGACCGGAGGACGTTAATAAAATATTGATTTTTGATAGTGGACATGACAAGAGATGGGTCTACGAAAAATTATGTGAACCACAGAATAAAGAGAAAGGCACAAGTGTTTTCATCTGTGGAAAGAAAATCTTATGGAGGAAAAATTGGAAATGTACTCGAGTACAGTGCTATGAACACCTGTGCAAGTTGTAAAGTGGAAAAAGACAGGGGCTTGAGCATCCTGTGAGAGCATGTTTGACTGGAGTGATGACTGCTGATATTAGGGTTCAACATACTGCTGGTGTGTGAGCAAGGTAACATTTATGAAGGAATCCAGGAAAAACTAGTTAGCCCAAACTATCTTTTGGATCATTTGTATTGATGTCCACACACTTCTGGCAAGGCAGATATGGCATGAATGATAGTAAGTGTTATTAGTTTTTGGGTCAATCTACTTTTGTGGGAGACAGCAGTAAAAAAAAAAAAAAAAAAAAAAAAAAAAGTTCCACTTAAAACACTCCATCACAAAAATAGGCAAGGAAAGAGTGCCCATTAGGAATGCAGTAATACTTATTTTAAATACTAGCTACTACAGGTCTCTCCCTTTATGCAAATTCACTCATTTCCATATGCAACATCACTATTTCTATCAGTTAATTCATACATATAATACAAACTTTCCATATGCAATCTATGTGGGTTGGAAAACAAATTAAAAATTCCTATTATGTGGAAAAAAGCATTTACAGCCAACCTGAGCTTCATATAGCTGTCACAGGCCTGGAACATACATGCAGCATAAAACGAGACATTCGTACTTAAATGATGCCCAACTTGTCAAAATCTTCTATACTGAACTTCAAGAGTCTAATTATAAATACATGTCATAAGAGTATTGGCAACTTCAGATATTGTTATATTCATGGGGAACAACTAAATTCAAAATTACCATACCAGCATAGATTTGATTCCTTACCTTTCTTTCCAGGAAGTGTCTTCCCATCTTTTTCATAGAACTCACGAATATCAACAAACAATCTGCCCTTGAATTCTCTCACAGTAACACGTTTATTTCGGTCAAGCTCAAAATATGTTTCACCACTGTCATTTTTGCGACGGGAAGAGCTACTTGATGCATCAGATTTTGTCATCTTTGCTGGTGGTTCTTTTTTCTGCAATGGTAAAAATATTTCCTAGCAATTTTATACCACTATGGAGATTACTTTCAAAGAAAAAAATACCCTGTTATCTTACAATGAATATGGGAAACAACAGGAATAAAAGCTTTTTATACAAATAGTACAAAACTAGTACTTTCCTTTTATGAATGTAACTTTTCAAATATGTACAGGAAAGTTATTTAGAATACATACAAAATTTCCACTAACTTCATCACATGTTCAATTTAATTTAATCAATTCTGCTAACTCAAGAAGTTAACTGAATTTCATTTTTTTAAATCGGCTATTAAAGAATGAAAAAAGTATGGTTGACTGTTGATTATGACTAGTTATGTTCTTGAAAATGGAGCCTAAGACAAAATTTTTCTAAAACCTCAGGTTCTCCACTGCCCACTGGAAAACCACATTTGTCTTCCTGCAGTTTTTCAGTGAATTCCAAGGTAATTTTCATTCTTATTTTAAATCATCTGCAAATTATACAAAACTGCGATGGGTGTTTTTATCTGTTCTATGAGGATAAACAGCAGAGGTGCCAGGTCAGTGCCTTAGGGTAGTGAGCTTTTTACCCTTTATGCTGGATTAGGCCCATGCCATCTCCATCACACGTCATTCTTACCTAATGCGGTGATACCTCGTATCCAAACTACATGGGCCGAGACCGGTTCGGAAACGGAGTTTCCGGATACGTGAGGGGGAAAACTGCACATCTGTACCATCATATTGCCATCTGTACCCCATCATATCACTATCGGTGAGTGGTGTAGGTTTAAAAACGAGTCCGTCGTCTGGCGGTGGAACCAGACACTCAGGGCTCGAATAACAGCCTCCTGGATTTCAAGGAACACAGGACCATAATTTTTCAAATGGGTTGTGGTCAATGGATGCTCCTAATACTCCAAAAGTGTTTTGACACCTGCCCTGGCTGCTGAAGTTTTTGGTCTTGGAGGCATTGGGTCATTTTCGGAATGCTCCGGGTGCAACGCTGATTCTGCAATCTCTGCACCCGTCATAGATTGCACACCAGGGTTGATTTCATCACACTAGCCAGTCCTGTACGTCATCTGTAGTTTCCCTAGCCTTGGACCAACCTGCATCCATGTGCAACTATTTCCTTTTTTTTTTTTCTAGAGTAAGCACATTCCTGGCCCTAGGACAAAACAGTGTCGAACCCCTCCCCCCTCCACAAAGGCCACAAACTTGTTTCCAGATTGCACCGCCATTATGCACACCCATCGGTTAGGAAACAATAGTGGGACTGAGAACAGTGGCTAGGGGATGATGGGATCCTCCTAGTGGCCAACCGGCACACTAAAGTGCACACAAAGTTTGATTCAGCCTTCTGCCGTATCTGAACGGTTGTACAAACGTTTTGATAATTTTAGAATTTTGCCCTTCCCCAGGGCCTGTTCGGATATTGGCGAGGTTCATTATTATTATAATCAAAAAGAAGCGCTAAGCCATAAGGGCTATACAGCGCTGCAGGGTAGGGAAGGAAGCGATGGCAGAAGGGAGGAGGGATGATCAGCAAGTTACAGAAAACAGCGGGGCAGGGGGTAGTACGGGGGTAGAGGGTAGCAAGAGATTGAAGTAGAAAGGGCTGAAGGTATCAGAATTTGTGAAGTCAGTCAGTTGTTGTCAAAAAGTCAATGAGAGAGTCCGGATGAAAGGTGAGTCCATCAGTGAGAAGGGAAGGTAAAGAGAGAGCAGCGGAGCAAAGACGACAACAGAGGTAAATTCTGCGTGCTCGTTGATAAAGTGGGCAGTCCAACAGAATGTGGCTGACTGATAATGGAGCTTGGCAATTCTCACAGAGGAGCAAGACGCCTCTCCATGAGATATCCATGAGTAAGACGAGTATGGCCAATGCAAAGACGGGAGAGAGTAGTCTCCCAACCTCGACACTGGTGATAAGAAGACGGCCAGTAACCTATACTCGGTTTAATAGATTGATTAATAGATTGAAGTTTGTTGCCGAGCACAGTAGACCAACGTTGTTGCCAACGGGTGTGAAGGTGGGAAGATATTGCAGCAAAATAGTCCGTAAATGGAATACCTCTATAAGAAACTGGTAGGTCATGTACTGCTGACCGCGCAGCAGTGTCTGCCTGTTCATTGCCCTGTACGTCAACATGACCAGGGACCCAACAAAAAACAATATCTTTATGCTTGGTAAAGATGCGGCGTAGCCAAAGTTGGATACGGAGGATTTAAGGGGTGAGGTGTATCAAATTTTTGTATAGCCTGTAAAGCACTAAGGGAGTCTGAGACAACCACAAATGATGACACAGGCATAGATGCAATACGGATAAGTGCTGTAAGGATGGCATATAATTCAGCAGTAAAAATACTAGCCGAAGATAGTAAATGCCCTTGTACTACGCTGTCCGGAAACACTGCTGCGAATCCTACACCGTCAGAAGACTTAGAGCCATCTGTGTACACAGCAATGGCATGAGAATGAGAGTGAAAGTGGTCAAGAAAGAGAGAGCAGGAAGCGACCGTAGACAGTTGGGCTTTCGAGCAAGGGAGGGAGAAAGAACAGACTCGAACAGCTGGAACTTCCCAGGGGGGTAGGGAAAAGTGAGATGCTACATATACATAGAAAGGTGGTAGTTGAAGAGAAGACAAGAGCGAATGAAGGCGAAGAGACAAGGGACGGAGTAAACAGGGGCGGCGAACAAATAAAGAATGTCTACTAATATTAGTGACCATTCTATAAATGGAAGGATTGCGGAGATCATGAGAGCGTACATAGTAACGCAGGCAATGGGCATCACGGCGATCGGATAAGGATGGAACATTAGCTTCTGCATAGAGGCTCTCGACAGGGGAAGAGCGAAAAGCACCAAGGCATAAACGTAATCCTTGGTGATGAATGGGGTTAAGGCTAGAGAGAGTAGCAGGAGATGCCGCTAAATAGATCTGGTCACCATAATCAAGTTTCGATAAAATAAGGGTGGAATGTAGGCGAAGGAGGGTTCGACGATCAGCTCCCCATGAAAGATGAGCAAGGGTTTTAAGAAGGTTCAGCCGGCTGTGACAAGTTGCCTTCAGAGAGGTAATGTGAGGTTTCCAGGATAACCTACGATCAAAGAGGAGGCCCAGAAACTTGACTGTATCACGTTCAGGGATACGGGAGCCATAGAGGTACAAAGGATGATCGGAGATGACAGAGCGTCTAGTGAAAGTAATTTGGTGGGTTTTAGTGCTGGAAAATTTAAACCCACATGTGGTGGCCCAATTGGAAACACGGTCGACTGCATGTTGGAGAGAAACTGTAATGAGGTGACAGTCAGCGCCTGCACAGGCAATAGCGAAGTCATCAACATAGAGTGATGACCAAATATTTGATGGAGACTAGAGGCCAAATCATTAATAGCAAGGAGAAAAAGTGTTGTGCTCAGAACAATCCCTGGGGGACACCTTCAGCTTGGATAAAGTCCGGGAGAGCACATTATTAACCCGAACACGGAAATGCCTGTCAGTTAAAAAAGTTTGTAAGGAAGGATGGTAGATTGCCTCGAAGGCCTAAGGAGTGGGCTTGGGCTAAAATATTAAACCTCCAAGTTGTGTCATATGCCTTCTCAAGGTCAAAAAATATGGCAATAACTGAGTGGTTATTCGCAAAGGCATTACGAACATACGTATCCAAGCGTAGTAAGGGTCTATGGTAGAACGTCCCTTACGAAAGCCATATTGACGAGTGGAGAGACTGTTGTGTGTCTCTAAATACCACACTAAACGTCTATTTACTAGGCGTTCCATTACTTTGCAAACTGCACTGGTAAGGAGCAATGGGACGATAGTGGGAAGTTTCATGTCCCTGTAGTGCCTGGTTTGCGGAAAGGGAGAAAAAATAATGGATTTCCACAGCTGTGGAAGAACTCCTTGTGACCAAATAAGATTGTAAAGGCATAATAGGACTGCAAGGGCTGACTGATGTAAATGTTGTAGCATACGAATATGAATGTCGTCGGGCCCAGCTGCCGATGATCGACAAGCTGAGAGTGTTGCCTCCAGTTCTTGAAGTGTAAAAGGCACATTATACTGTTCTTCTCTGAGAGAAGAAAAGTCCAAGGGTGCTAACTCTCTGGCAGACTTTGAGGAAAGAAATGAGGGGCATAGATGGAGTCCCTGAGAAATACAGACCAGATGATTGCCAATTTCATTGGCAACATCTAGTGGGTTTGCTATATCAACATCGGCAACCCGCAGAACAGGAGCCGGGTCAGGAGAATATTTACCACCCAGTTTTCGTACTTTTTTCCAGACTGCACTCAGAGGAAGCAGAGGTGATGATGGAGACAATCTCGCCAGCAAGTGCGTTTAGCGTCACGGATGACACGGCGAGCGATCGCACTCTTCTGTTTAAAATCAAGGAGTCTCTCTGTGGTTCTATTGTACCGGTACCTGCCCCATGCAGCGCGTTTCAAACGTACTGCACGAGCACAAGCAGGAAACCACCAAGGCACGCATTTCTGAGAATGCCTGCCCGAAGTTTGGGATATAGAATGAGAAGCTGCGGTGAAAACGGAGGACGAGAAGAGGTGTAAAAGCTCATCGATGGAGGACGAAGAAGGAACCTCTTTAAAAACAGTTAGGTGTGAGTAAAGGTTCCAATTTGCCCGATCAAATTGCCAGCGTTGGGTGCGAAGAGGTGGCGAATATGAAGGGGAAGTAAGAATGATTGGGAAATGATCACTGTCATGTAAGTCCGGGAGAACAGACCAAGTGAAGTCTAATGCGGCGGAGGAAGAGCAGACTGAGAGATCGATGCAAGAGAGAGTATGAGTCCGAGGATCAAAATGGGTGTGAGTACCTGTATTTAAAACATGGAGGGGGTAGGTGGCAGGAAAAGCCTCTACCTGAATTCCACGGGAATCACAGTGAGACCCCCCCCCCAGAGGAAATGGTGGGCATTAAAATCACTAAGTAACAGAATCGGTGGTGGTAATGACGAAACAAGAAAGGTAATATCCGGAATAGATAAT